GGTGTTGGGCAGCGTGGACAGAGGCCTGCAGTGGAAGGGACCTGGCTGTGCTCAGGGCAGCACGGCTCAGGCTGGTGGGAGGGTTGCAGAGGGTGACAGGCTGGGACGGGCGGCTGCTTATGGGTGGCCGGTGGGGAGGGACGTGGCTTTGTAAGGCTCCCTGTGGCCAGAAGCTGGTTTGGAGGCCACCGCAGTGTCACAGGTGAGTGCAGTCATGGTGGCCTGAGCTGCAGGTGGGTTGGTGAGGAGAGGACCGAGTGGATGGACTGCGCAGACCCATGGTCTGAGAGGGAGGTGGCCAGGTAGGGAGAGAGAGCTCTCTGAACCCCTGGGAGTGGGGTTCCCAGATTCTGAGGCGTTTCGTCCTGTGGAGTTGGATGTCCCAATGGGATGTGGAGTGGACGCGCCTTGGTGGGTGGGGTGGGGTGTGCAGGTTTGGCTCAGGAGAGAGCTCACTGACCGCTGGACATTGAATTTCGTAACTCCTAGAGGTGAGGTTTGCAGAGTCCCAGAGTGTGGGCCCCACGGGGGGTGGGGTGGGGGGACCGCTTCAGCCTGGAAGGGAAAGTGATGGTGGGACAAACACAAGGCGGACAGCTGGGCCAGCTGGATTTTATTGGGAACGAGATGGCGGGCTGTGAGGACCAGGCGCCAGCTGTGAGCAGGCCGCAGGCCTTTGCCACGTCTTTCCTTTGCCCGATGATCCCCCAGACTCCACGCGAGCGGCCGCCTCCTCTTAAGTCCGAGTACTGGCCCTCCCCGGCGTCCCCACTGTCCCTGCTGGCCCGTCCCTCCTCCCTGCTTCCAGGCACTTGCCACAGTTCCGTTTGGGGTCTTCCCCCTCCATCGTGAGCTCCCCGAGGGCAGGGAGGGCTTTCACTGCTGTAGCCCCAGCACTGAGAACATTGTGGCACAAAGTAGGTGCTTAGTACGTTTGGTGGTTTGGTTTTTGTAACGGGAGGCCTTTTATTTGTATTTTATGTATATATAAAAGTTAGTTGTGGGGAGAACACTTAGCATGAGATCTGCCCTCAAACTCAGGTGTCAGTGCAGTGCTGTGAACTGTGGCCCGGTGTGCAGCTGGGCTCCTGGTCCCCGAGCGGCTTCACTGGAATTGCCCACTGTCAGCGACTGCACCCCAACTCCTCAGAGCGTTTGTTGACAGAGGAGTTAGCTCACTTTCCTGTGGTCATGTTTGTCCCAGAAGAGATTGCAGTTAACCACGGGGGGGGGGGGGGGGGGGGGGGGGGGGGGGACTGAGATGTGCACCGTGCCTGGAGCTGGTCTGGCCGTGGGCGGCTCAGCTGTGAGCGCCTGGGGACAGACTGAGGGGATGTTCTGTACCACATGGCTGCCACTCATTGAGCAAAATCTGAGGCACTACTACTCGCCTAGAATGCCAGGCCCTGGGGTGACCAGTTAGGTCCCTGGCTTCACAGGGCCTCTGGCCAAGGTTTGGGAGCATCTTGGGAGAACAGATACCAGTGGGCGGAGGTGGAGGTGGGTTGGGTTTCAAGGCCCCGGATACTTGGATAAACATGGGCCTGAGAATGAGGACCAGCGCGAGGCTTGGCGCCTGGCGTGAGGTTCTTGGGGTGCAGGTCTCTTACACCCCGACGGGGCCCAACATCGGCCACTGTCCACAGCAGCTGCCTGTCTCCCAGCTGGTGAGGGAAGACACAGATGCGACCGGCAAGGGTGGGCATGCCGACTCTGAGAAGGAAAAGGTAGGTCTGCGTGCCGGGGGCCGGTCTGCGCTGTGGGTCAGTTTGTGCCGGGGGCCTGTCTGCATGTGCTGGGGGTCAGTCTGTCTGCAGCCTTGCCCTGTGCTTCCAGGTCTTCCCAGAAGCGGAGGCCAGGGAGCACGGCCCAGAGAGAAAGACGGACACAGCCCTCGAAGGGCTGCAGCGGCCTCCCAGCGCCAGAGACCCTGTAGGGCAGGTAAGGCCAGGCACCAAGGCACCACATGGAGGGTTGGTCTCGGCAAGAGGGGATTTGTTTCAAATAAAATGAGGAGAACCAGTGCCCAAACTGATCACTTCAGGGGGTGGCCCTGACGTCAGACCTTCCCAGTGACAGGAAGAGCCACCAGGTGGGCAGACGGGGGTTAGGAGCGCTGCGGGAAGAGGCCGAGGCCCTCCCACCCCTCCTGCTGGAGGGCCGTCTGCAGGCCCCTGGCTGTGGCCTCTGGGCCCTGCTTACCTTCCACCCACTGTCCCCAGGTCCTGCCATGTAGACCGGAAGCAGCTGAGGCCCCTACTCAGCCGGCCAGCCCCCCACAGCCATCTGATCACAGCTACGCCCTTTTGGACTTAGATGCCCTAAAAAAGAAACTGTTTGTGACCCTGAAGGAAAACGAAAAGCTCCGGAAGCGCTTGAAGGCCCAGAGGCTGGTGATGCGGAGGCTGTGCCGCCGCCTGCGAGCCCACAGAGCAGCAGAGCTGAGCCCGGCAGCCCGGCTTTCTCATCGAGCCTGGGCGGTGGGGCTGCGGTTCGGAGGATCTGGCCACGAGCCTTTCCGTCCTGCTGCTGACAGTGGCAGCGAGGCCTGCAGGTGAGGAGCCCAGCTCGGCCTCAGGTGGTTCGGTGGCGCCGGGCTGTGAACGTGAGAAACTTGGTCATCCAGGTGACAGCCCCAGCTGTCCATTCAACACGAGCCAGGCCAGCGTCCTCAGAACCACAGCATGCTGAGCAGAGTGGCAGACACCCCCGTGGGGAGGGACTTAGTGCATGGGCACTCCCACCCCACACCAGAGCGGGGACAGATGACTCAGGCAGCAGGAGTGGCCCTCCATTGCCTGGACAGCCAGCTCTCTGGCTGACAGTGGCCTCTGTTCTAAGGAGTGCCTCTTCCCGGCCTGGTTTGATGGAACTAGGTGACCAAGCGTCTTCCTGCATTAAAGGGTTTCCTCCTGTTCATAAAAGCAAACGCTGGCCCTGGCCAGGGTGCTCAGTTGGTTAGAGCATCATCCCAATACACCAAGGTTGGGGGTTTAATCTCCGATCAGGGCACATACTAGAAGCAACCAGTGAGTGCACAGATCCATGGAACAACAAGCCCAAGTTTCTCTCAAATAATTAAAAAATAGTCCTGGGCCCGGCTGGTGTGGCTCAGTGGTTGAGCGTCGACCTATGAACCGGGAGGTCACAGTTCAATTCCCGGGCAGGGCACATGCCCAGGTTGTGGGTTCCATTCCCAGTGAGGAGAATGCAGGAGGCAATTATGATACTCATAATTGATGTTATCTCTCTGTGCCTCTCAAATCAATAAAAATATTTAAACAAATTAAAAAGTCCTGGCCAGTGTGGCTCAGTTGGTTAAGCGTCGTCCCATACACCAAAAGGTTGCTGGTTTGATCCCTGGGAGGGGTCCTGTGGGAGGCATCAGATCCATGTTTCGCTCTCACATTGATTGATGTTTCTCTCTACTTCCCCCTCTAAAAGTCAATAATAAAAATTTTTTTTAAACTTAAAAAAATCAAAACAAGCACTAGTTTGAAGTTCTCGCTCCTGCTTGCTTTGGTGATGCTGTGAAGACTGACTTCCTGTCTCCCATTGAAGAGCAGGCAGGGCATGACCACCTTTGACTACAAAAAAAGGTGGTTTTAGTAAAAATGAAAAGCAAGCAACCTCGCCTAAGGGAGTCCCTAGCCCTGGACTCTGCCTCCGGTCCCCGCCTAGTGGGGAAAACAGGCTGTATCTCCCAGGGCCACCACAGGGTTGGACGCGAGTTGGACAGTGAAGCTCAGGGGAGGGACAGGCTTTGAGGGGGCACCTCCCTCCCTCTGCTCACTCCACAGGGTACAGACGCACGCCACACTCCCCGCTTTCAGGAAGGTTTATTGTGGAGAGAGGCCCCCTGCAGTCCCTTCAGGCAGAAGGAAGAGTTGGTGCCCAGAGGAGCCACCTGCCTGGAGGGAACGGGGTGGGTCCAAAGTCAGACTCGATACACGCAACGCTTATTGCACGATTCACACCAGAGCAGCAGCTCAGAGGACTTTTTAAATGGAGATAAATATTACAGGGTTGGAAATCTGAATTGTTTGTAAAAACTGGAGGAACGGTAGGGAGGGGTTATTAGCGATTCCACTGGTACCAGTGCCAGGTGAAGCCTGAAGCTGTCGGAACCACTGCCCACAGGCCTCTCATGACAGGTCACAGACCCGGCTGCTCGGCAGTTTCCTGGCTCCTACACCAAAGAGGGTAGAGAGGAAGGAGGTCTGGGGAGCAGACTCCCAGGAAGGCGTCTCCTGAGGGAGCTGGGCCAGACGGGTGTGCAGAGCAGCCGCGCCACCTGCTGGCCGAGCAGGCGAGGCGCAGGCCTGGGAGCTGCTCGGGCGGCTTTGGCAGTCTGAGGCGGGTGCTCTAGGCCCCTCTATGCTTCCCCTTGGCCCCCGACCCTCTTCACTCCAACACTGCACCGTGGTGTGGGGCACCAGCAGGTCAGGCTGAGCCGTGGGATGGGGTGGGTGGGCACCGCCTTTTCCCACGAGGATGGGGGCAGGTCCTGGAAGGAAGTGACCGTGACAGGGATGGGCCTGGGGACAGAGGTCACTGCTCTGGCCCAAGCCAGGTGCCAGTGGAATGATTGGAGAAGTTCTGGGAGGACAGAAGAGACTAATTAATTTCCCAAGCCATTTGTTCTCAGATAAAAAGCAGATTTATAAACCCACGCTCCTCCATATTCAGCAGGAAAAGGCGGTTTCCACAAGTCGACCACCCAGATGCTCGCTTGGCTGCAGACTGTTCTTTCCTTCCTTTCCAGGTCAGGGTGGTGTCAGGAAAGGCAGTCCCGGTCCTGTGTGAGGGCAGATGTTCCACGGCGACCTCCTCACAGACCAAGAACGATGGGGTGGCTCCCGGGGCCCAGGGCCCTTCCCTCGGGCACATGATCCTTGGGAAACAGACACGGCTGTGCTGAGGTTCTGGTCCTGGCAGGGCTGCCTCAGTCTGCCTACAGCACCCACAAAAGCAGGGTGTCTGTGTCCCTTCACATAATTGATACGGTACCACCTCCTTAGGAATAATATAAAATAAACTTGTGACGTCTGGGTTTCCCTGCTTCCAAATTTATAGACGCCCAGGAAAAGATCTTTGCAGCCTCCTGTAATTCTTTTTCTCAAGCAGTTTATCCATCTGTATCGATCCTGTGAGCTGCAAGAGAAAAGACAGACTCGGTGCAGCAAAAGGCAACTGTTTCCACAGCCTGCCTCTACTCGGGTGCAGCCACCAGCAGACCAGAGGCCCGGCGGATGGTTCTGGAACGTAAAGGAGCAGCTGGGTTTGCTTCATACCCTGCCACCTGAGCTGCAGTTCAAGGAAAGCGCTGCCTGTAATTCCACCTGAGAAAGACCGACCCCCAGGGCAGCGCATCCCAGGCCCGAGGGAGTCGTCCAGGCCCGTGTGCTCCCAGGCAGAAAGGGCGGGCAGGTGGCTGTGGCTCCACATGGATGTCCCCAGTCCCCGTCATAGTGGAGGGCCTCTCCCGTCCCTGCACGGGGCAGCTACTCACACTGCTTGGGTATCCTGAGTGCCTCGCTGTCCAGCGCCATCACCTGGTGCAGGACGCCCCGGAACTGGTAGAGCACTTTCAGGCTCTTCTCCTCGCCCACACAAGGGTCGTAGAACCCGGGCAGCCCAGCCTGGAACAGAGACCCTGATTCGAGGGGGGCCTGAGACAGGCGTCTAAATGCACACTCCCACCGCCTGCTCCCCCGCTGCAGGCCGCCCTCGGAAGGGCCTTCTTCCCTCGGAAGGCGCGCACTTGGCCACTTGAGGAGAAAGAAATGAGAATTTGAAAAAAATTGCCTATTTAGTCCTAGCCTCCCTCTCAACATGCCGCGCCCCCCAAATACACCACTATTGTCACGGAAGCCCCACCAAGACAGACACACTGGAAGGCGTCTCGGGGGCCTAGGAGCTCTTGGCCTTGAGTGCACCTGCACTTTATAGAGATATGCATTTTTTAAAATATATTTTATTGATTTTTTTACAGAGAGGAAGGGAGAGAGATAGATAGTTAGAAACATCGATGGGAGAGAAACATCGATCAGCCGCCTCCTGCACATCTCCCACTGGGGATGTGGCCGAAACCCAGGCACATGCCCTTGACCGGAATCGAACCCGGGACCCTTCAGTCCGCAGGCCGACGCTCTATCCACTGAGCCAAACCGGTTTCGGCGAGATATGCATTTTTTTAAAAAATATATTTTATTGATTTTTTACAGAGAGGAAGGGAGAGGGATAGAGAGTTAGAAACATTGATCAGCTGCCTCTTGCACACTCCCCACTGGGGTATGTGCCCCAACCAAGGCACATGCCCTTGACCGGAATCGAACCCGGGACCCTTCAGTCCGCAGGCCAACGCTCTATCCACTGAGCCAAACCGGTCAGGCGAGATATGCATTTTTTAATCCTCCCCAGAGGATATCCTTCCCATTGATTTTAGAGAGGGTGGGAGGGAGGGGGAAGGGTAAGAGAGAGAGAGAGAAAGGGAATATCGATATGAGAGAGACACATCAATTGGTTGCCTCCCACACACACCCTGACCAGGACCAGGACTAATTATTGAACCTGCAACCCAGGTCCGTGCTCTTGACCGAGAATCAAACCCACGACCCTCCGGTGTGCAGGCCGATGCCCTAACCACTGCACTACGCAGGCCAGGGTGGGAATCTGACTTTAATTCAATTTCGCTGTCTACACCCCAGGCTCCAGCGTGAGCTTCAGCTGTGCTAGGTGGCCTCACACGCCTCTGGCACAAGGCGAGCAGTAAGCCGCAGGCAAGCTCCACGCAGGCAGGATGTACATTTTGTTTTGTTTTTCAAATTCTAAGAGAAAGCTCATTTAGAAAGCTCAGAGGTATGGCCTCTGCAGGCTCAGGAAACACGTGACAGAAGCAAAGGAAGGGCCTTTGCTTCTGTCACGGCAGCTGGAGCTCAGGAGAGGGAAAGGCCAAGGTAATGCGCCCGGGAAAGGAGGGAGACCACAAATGCTGGGCGCCCCTGAAAGGGAGCAGAGGGTTTTGTTTGCTGTGACTGGCACATAGTAGGTGCTTAGTAAATACTTGCTGAGTGAATGGATGGATGAAAGCATGAAGTAAATTGCTCCAACGTGGACATAACTTGGGTATGAGATTGGGCAGGACTCTGATACAATGAAATGGCCATTTCCAGTGGCCACTGTCCCCAGAAGCCTTTCTGTCTGAGTCCTGTGGGGCCTGGCGCTGTACCTTGGAGGCCTCTGTGAGGATGAGCTTCGAGTCCTTCACCAGGCACTGCAGGGGCACCGTCACGTCGATCACCTTCACCTTCTCACTCTTCCTGCTCTTGTCGTTGACAAACTTCCCGTACCAGGCGTTGACGATGATGAGGCCTGAGGACGGGTTCAGTCAAAGTGTGTGTGGGGGGAGGGGCCGGCTGACACCCTCTCTCCCGTCCACCGGCAGCTGGACTGCAGGAGCGGGGTGCTCCTTTGAGATCCCCCTTGCCCACCCTGTCCCAAGAGAGGCCATGCCTTCTCACCCATTCTGGATTCTTCTGCCTCGATTATTCTTCGGACAGATTCCTGCATCAACCGAACCTGCAAAGAACGGGGCAGGCGGCCATCAGGGCCCTCGCCGGGCTCCACCTCTTTGTTCAGAGACACAGCCTCCCCTGTCCACAGGGACCAAGCAGGACGGTCACTTATCCTGGACGTCCGTTACGTCACGTAAAAACAAGTCACGTGAGGGGGAGGGAGAGGGGGCACTACCCACCACGTGAAAACAACACCTGGCTACAAGCCTCATCCTTGGAACTGAGCCTGCAGCTCCCGGAAGCACACGCCAGTGGCGATACAAAGCCTGCAGTGCGAGCGCAGCTGCGGGGAGCAGCCCGAGCCCAGGCCTGAGGACAGACGGAGTGAAGGACCCGGGGCCCGGAGGCCGGAGGAGAGTGAGCTGCACGCAGCGCTCGGAGCACAGAAAGCAGAAGGACGCCGGGACCAACGGCACTCACCGCAGCTTCTGCCTCTTGCTTCTTCTGCAGGATGTCGGTAGCTGTGTTTTCCCTTTGCTTTTCCAATTCCCTTATGCGACAAAAACACAGCCACACATTAGCGTGGTGTTACCCCTCGTTGGACCTGTGCCCAGCAAAC